AAATAGCTCACGTTTTTATACACGCAAACCTTTGATAGATCCGGCCCCTTGTCTCGAGGCAAGACGTAAAAATACGACGAAAAAAACGTCCAAAACGTACGAAATTACGGTGCATAACTTTTCGTACGATTTCGTACGAACTGATAATGAGAATACACTGACACAAGAGGGCAACAAATAAAAACCTAAGAACTGAAATATAACCAGAAAACACAACAAAATAAGGAATTAAACCAATAAAACTAGAAAACATGGAGCAAAGTAAACCCGAATACTCAAAAGAAAACATAACAGACCCAAGACTGTGACATTGGGCAATTATCTACCTCTGGAACATCAATTCGAATGGTATATTCGTAAAACAGGACAGGGGGACAAAAAAGGAAAACCTGCTCAGGGCCCTGCTTAATCTCAGAGCAGCCCTGCAGCCAGCCTTTGACACTCTATTATTGGGATGCTGTGCCAAGTCTGTTTTGCTGATCTGTGCAGCTCTGCACAGACAGTTTTGTGCAACATAATCACAGTACAAGACAAAATGACACCTTTAGGCTCTCCTTTCTTTAGATCTAATGTATTTCCATATTTCCTAATAGGCTAATCATGTTAGGCCTGCCTGCTGTAGCGTGGCCTGCAGATGAATCACACAACACCAGAGCCATCCTCCGATCTAACAAAGATGAACAGATTCTGCAGCTGTTATTGAAATGCATTTTATTCTAAATGAAACGCAGATGGAGAGCTGCAGAGCTCGGCATAGACAGCCCCCAGCCTCTGTGACCATATATGGCAAATGACAGCGCGGTGGTGGATGCAAGGTGGCGAGCATCTCTGCGCCTTGTTTCTGTCATCTGCCAGCGCGCAGCAGCTGTGCGCGCTGCAGCCACGCGAACGCTCCAGCATGCATGGACACATTCTACAGTCATATATACATTATTCAATAAATAAAATGCATTGTCTCACCTATGAATTCTTCATCGTCGTCGTCCTCTTCCTCCCCGTTCTCCGAATCGATCTGCATGGCCTCGTCAATGAAATTGACCGCTTTCCCAGATCTAGGGGCCGAATTTTGGTCATGGCCAAAGGAGGCCTCTTTGGTCTCGCTGTCCTTCAGACGGGTGAAGTACTGGAGCGCAAACTCAAGCAGATCCCTCGGCTGATTCCTCAACACTTCCACGGTAAAGCTCTGTAACAGCTCCGTCAGTCCCTCAGGAATTTCTATACTCATTCCTGTTTTCCGTCTGTGGATGTGGAGAAAACGGGTTTGCTGCGAATTCAAGAAGAAAAAAAAAGAAAAAAGAAAACAAAGAGGTCAGAATAAGCGGGTGTAGTCTGGCCACCACCACCGCCCCAGTCAGACAGCGAGCCGTCCACAGCGGATCCTCTCTTTTCTTGAATGAAAATGGCTGTGGATTTATGGTCCAAGCATCTTCTGCTGCTTCTGGCTATAGGGAACCCACGCATGTGACCCAGGAATCCATGGCAACCACCTATCCAGGGATTGCGCACATGAGCAGCAACGGCCCAAAAACTGCAGTCGGTCGCAAAATACAAATTATGGGAAAGAGGAAGCCGATGGGAAGGATTTTCACCAGAAGAGGTCAGTTTCTGACAGCAGAGCCAGACATCACATCATGCTTATTTTCTTACCCAATAGATTTTCTGTCTATTCAAATAGGTAATTAAGCTGCTTTAGTTTACTGATTTAAAATGTGCTAGAAGGAATGAGTACAACTGCTGGATTGGATTACTATAATGTTTTATATATATTTAATACCTTTTCTTGTGGTATACTTAAAATAAATTCTACTTTTTACACTGCAAAAAAAATTCTAATCTAAATAAGTCATTTTTTCTTCAAATAATTGCATTTATTCTTGGACTGAGGAGGCAAGCGAGACACTTTGCCAATTGAAAACGATTATTTCCATTTAAAATAAGAAAAAACAGCTACATTGTCTAATTTTAAGTACATAATATCTCATTATCTTATTCTAATAGTAGATATACTAATTCTGTTGGTAAATCATCTTATTACCTGCTCAAATTAAGGGTAAATACACTTAATTTAAAAAATTTTGACTTATTTTTAGATTTTTTTTTTGCAGTGTATCTATTCAATTCAATTTATTTCTATAGCGCCAATTCACAACACATGTCATCTCATGGCACTTTATAATTCATACAGTCAAATTGATTCAAAGTTTTCTATCTAAGGAAAACCAGTTGATTGCATCGACTCATTGACTCCAATGCAATCC